ATTACAGTGGGACAGACCTGTTAATTTATTATCTAGCACGATACCTAAAAATTTAATTTCAGTCTTTATAGGAATGTATGAGTTATCATAAAGCACCTTAATTTGTTGCGGTGATCTCATTCTTGAAAACAAAACTACACTACTCTTGGTTACAGAAAGATTAAGACCATTTGCATCTAACCACGTTTTTAACAAATCTAATGAATCAGATAATTTGGCAGAAGCAGATTCTATGGACTTCGCAATAAAATATAATAAAAGATCATCAGCATATTGTAAAATTTTGACGGATTTATCAAGGAATAATTCTAGATCGTATGTGTATATGTTAAATAAGATTGGACTGAGAACAGATCCTTGTGGAAGGCCTTTCCATACTGTTCTAGATAATTTGGTATCTTCATCTAAATTCATATATATTGTTCTTTCTGATAAAATATTAATAATGAAATTAGAAAGCATTACCGGTACATTTAGAGCTTGTAATTTAGTTTTTAAAATAGAAATTATTACATTATCATAGGCAGAATTTATATCTAAAAAGGCTGAGAGGATTGACAAATTTTGTGAGAAAGCTATATGAATATCTGAAATAAGAATGCTCACATTATCTAAGGTGCTCTTACCTTTCCTAAAACCAAACTGGTTCGGGGATAGTAAGTTATTACTTTCTAAAAACCATTCTAGACGGTTTTTCACTAAATGTTCAGCTAGCTTTAGTAAGACAGAGGAAAGTGCAACAGGACGGTATGAAGATGGTTCAGAAGGTGGTTTATGAGGCTTTAGAAATGGTATAATAATCTGAGACTTCCATGAAGTAGGTATATTTCCCGAAATAATTATGGAATTAATTATATTTAAAAAGTAAATTAATGTCGCATCGCTAGCATTTTTAAAAAAGGAATACGGTATACCGTCTTCTCCCGGTGCAGAGTCTTTAATAGAAGCTAGAACACCTTTAAGTTCTACTAGAGTAAAAGGAGAGTCAAGTTCGAATAATTCGTCAGAGACGGATAGAGAAATATTGTAAAGGCATTCCGGCACATAACTAGGAGCAAGACGATCTAAAAATTTATTCGCTAAAGTTAAATCGAGTGCAGAACGTGATGTATGATCACTAAAGGCAGATCTGAATCTTTTAATATTATTCCAAACGACTGATGAATTAACTTCTGGACAGATAGAAGAACAAAATCTTCTCCAGCCTTCTAATTTCTTTTTTTTCAGTAGTTTTCGAGTAGAACGTGAAACTGCGGTGTAAATTTCAAAATTTTCTGGTGTCATGTAATTATTATAATTTTTTTCAGCCTCTTTACGATTTTTAATTGCTTCCGTACAATCTTTGTCCCACCAAGGTGGCGAGGGAATTTTCCCTGAAGCACTATTTTTAACAGGAAATAATAAATCAGCAACCTCCTTCATATTTATCATCAAGTCATTACAACATTGATGTTCATTTCCATGATAAACAATAGGTAACTCCGATATTTTATTATCTAAATATTGTTTGTAAATATTCCAGTCTACATTTGATAAATTATATTTAAGCCGAGGACCACTCTTTCGACTTGAGGGAATGGAAATTGGAAAAGAAAGAATGAGGGGAAAGTGATCGCTTCCGAAGTAGAGGAATGAGGATACCACGACAGTGAAGAAGCTAAATCAGAAGAACATATTGAAATGTCAGGAGCACTAAACCCTTCATTCGGTGCAGTTCTACGTGTTGGTACATCTGAGTTAATAATACATAAGTTGTAAGTGTCAATTATCGTCAGGAGTTTTCCACCATAAAAATTAGAAGTAGAACTGCCCCACGATTGGTGTTGAGCATTAAAATCGCCCATTACGAGAAAAGGTTTAGGTAAAATTGAAAATAATTGTTCTAGTTGTGAATATATTTGGCATGTAGGATCAGGAATATATAAAGTAACAAAACAGATACCATTTATAATTATAGCAGCTGCATTAATGCCGCTATATACAGGAAGCGAAAAAGAAGAAAAAGGAAGGGAGTTTTTGACCAATATGGCAACACCGCCATATCCGTCAGCTCTATCATCACGGAGACTTGTAAAGCCTGAAATCCTAAAAGGATATCCTGGCTTTAACCAAGTCTCTTGGAGAGCTATTATAAAAGGATTATATTTATTAATCAAATAAAATAAGTCTGATTTCTTGTTTGTTATGCTACGACAGTTCCACTGAATTATTAGGACTTTGTAATCCATTGTGAGAAGTTAATAATTGAGAAAATACATTGTAAATGGCATCGTTGGACGGTGGTAAAGTTGTTTGTATCATTTTCGATTGCGATAACACTTTAATAAGCATGAGAATAATATCAAAGATGGATTGATTATTGTCAATATTATTTGATGATAATGCACAACCATTAGAGGGAGCAGGAATATTATATTCCTTAACTATGGCTTCATGGGCAGAACGATCATATCCTTGTTGTGCTTTTTGAGGAGAGCGTGGTTTAAGTGTAACTGTTTTTTTATGTGATGATTGAATATGTGGTAATGATGATTTCTCTTTGAGGAAAGAAGATTGAAAATGAGATTTATTGGACGGAGATGATGATGTTAATACATCTGAATATAGTTTAGAAGTGGGAGGATGAAATTTTGATGCTTCAGCATAAGAAACACAACTGTGGGCCATTGTTTCTTTAATGGCTTTCTGACGTGCATATTCAGGACATTTCTTACTAATTGCTGAATGAGAACCATTACACAAGATACAAGAAACATTTTCCTCATCTACTTCACATTTATCACCTGTATGATTTTGCCTGCATTTATAACACCGAGGATTTGAACGACACTGCATCTTGACATGTCCGAACCTACAGCAGTTATAGCATTGGATAGTGGGGTAAATGTACAAATCTACAGTTAATGATGTGTAAAACATAAATACTCTTTTTGGTAATATTTGTCCATCAAAAGTAATAACAATGGTTTCAGTATTAATAAAACTTGGTTGTCCTTCATTAATGGTCTTTTTCTTAATTCTTCTGGTTTTTAGAATTCTCCCACAACCTATAGGTACTGATATATTTTGGATTACTTCCTCTTCTGTCCAATCTTTAGGAATACCCCTCACAATTCCCATACGGGTTACATGGAAAGAAGGTATAAATGCCTTAAAATTATGTGTTTCTAAGTGACTATTATTTAAAAATGCATTTGCATTTTCAAAATTTGAGAAAGAAAGCGATAAACGGTTTCTTCCTATTCTTTTGAGGCTACCATTCACTATATTATTTATCTTATTAGTGTGTAAAAAGCGACCAAATGCAATAGGATGTAATGTAGTGTTATCATTAGGATGTGTTTCATTTTTTTGTACATGAACGACATAAGGAGCTACATCCTCGGCATTGTACAAAGTTCTGCTTAAAGTACTGGGTGGAGAAGCAGGTTTAACAGACTCGGTATTATTTACAACTGGTATTGATACTAGAGTTTGATTCTCATCCTCAATACATTGACAATCACTATCTTTAATTTTAGATTCGAGACCTTTGGTGTGCCTCCTTCGTTTTTTATTGCAATGTTTGCAAATGCGACGTTCGCCACGTACTCGCTTACGTTTAGAACTTGCAACGCTAGAACCATCTGTGTCCATACTAGATTCACCCAATATATCAAAACTATTATTAAATGGGATAGTTATATTTGCAGACACCTGAGGGGTTGTCCCCCCAGGGTCTATAGGTGGATCCATAATGTCTAATTAATATAGGTAATTTACTTACCAATATTTACAGCAACAAACACTATTACTACAAAATATACAATTATATATACAATCTAATACACAATATATAAATAAAACTAATCCTTATATAATTAAAAATAAAATTAATTTAAAGAAGATCAAAAAACACTCCCGCTTTTTTAAACGTTTCCCGCGCTTTTTCTTTCTTTTACTTTTACTCGATCTTTAATTTGTATTGATTTTCACAACATAAGCTTTGCTATAAATCACAAAGCGAAAGACGAAAAAAGTAAAATCTTCTCACTCCTGAATGTTTTTATATTTAATTAGCAAAAAATCGGATAAGATAATAATATGATTTTTTCTTTGCTACCGTAATTCGTATATTCAATATATTGCTACACGATTTACAAGTATTAGAACTACCGACCAATTTAAATCCAATTTTTCTAAGTTCATTTAATTTTCTCCAAGAATTTCATTTCTTCAAAATTTCGTAAACAAAAAACTTTACTCGTAATTTCGAAAAACCATTGGCAATGCTGCTACAGACTACTTAGAGAGGGGGGAAGGGATTGTTAGTAATGGGGAGGTTAATCTCCATTGCTATCAATATACCTTATCAGGTCGACCTCCACGCGGTTTCCCCTGGAAACTATTGTGATTAATTTATCGTTAAATTTGTCACGATGGACTAACTGACCTGCCTTTTCACCTTCACCAATTATTCCTCACTGGTGGGGGGAAAGAGATTGTTAGTAATGAAGACTAAAAATCCCATTGTTTGCAATATATCCAACCAGGTCGTCTTCCTCGTGGTTCCCCCTGAAAACTATCATGGTTAATTCCTGATGAATTCATTATGATGGGCTAATGGGCCTGTTTTCATTCTCATCGATTCACTGGTGTTCCACCAGCGTAGCCTGTTAGCGCAGGCGGGGTTACCATTCCATTATCATCCATACAAAAAACCTACTTAGAGAACTATGTATGTTGAAAGAGCGTACTAAATATGTAATATCTTGTTATTTCTTTTTAGAAAATTGTTATTTCCTGTGTAACCTACACAGGAAATAACAATTTTCTAAAAAGTCGTTATTTTATATATTATTGTGATATTACACAAATTATAATGATTTATCGATATATTTCTATGTAGTACCTACTAAAAACAAGGAATAACCAAAATTTTTGCGATAGAATTGTATACGTTATAAGCAGGCAATTGGATTGTCAATATCAAATTGACATTGATAATTAGTTAGACGCCAGCTGTCAATTAGTTATAGGTTATACAGATTTCAGAAGTTTCCGAATTCCATAAGATAAAACATTATATTTATTTATTTACTTATACAAAGACAAAAGTGAACAAATTGACATACAAAATGAAGAATAAACATTCCATATCGCAATAAAGTACCTAATAATTATAAATTAATAATTAGCCACTTGATATATGTAAAATAATTACGTGGACTGTGTATCTACACTATTGAAATCTTTAATCTTCGTATATTCGAAATAAACATTGGTACATTGTACTATATCGCAGTGTGAGCTGTGAAGACAAAAGTTACATTTGAAAAATGTTGTCTTTTGTCACTAAAAATTTAAATGACATCATATATTTAGCTCTTCTTCTATCTAGTGTCGCTATAGGACCTTACTACAGGTCTCTGAAGAGTATAGAAACAAAAAAATGGGTTGGTAGTTGGCTCGGCATTTTGCTCATTCTTATTGTATCTGGATACAATGCTATTCATCCCATTCTCTCAGCTGTTCTTGGTATATTGGCTATTAAATTGGTTACTGTCAAGTAAGTAAAAATTCTACAATATTTCTTTTTCATTTCTTATTAATAATTAAGTAGCCCAAAAATTTATCACAGATAAAACTTTATTATGTAGTTGTCTTTTAAATATTATTTATTAGTTTTGTAGTGTGAGAAATATTTTGCTTAACTAGCAATAATTATTTATTTATACATTTTGTAACATATATAAAATATAACACCACAGATTAGATAGATTTAGATTTTTATACATAGGCCAATATAATTTTCACTAAAGAATTTGTGAGCATAAAAATAACAAAAATGAGATAAAAATAGTAGCTAATAATTGTGTCACTATGTAGATATAATTTAAAATGTGTATGACTATATTTTAATAGTAGCATAATGAAACAAAATTCTAATTAACTAACCAACAATATGAAAAATGTGTTTTCCAGGTATTGCCACATAGTGTCATTTTTCTTCATGTTTGGATATCTCTTCTTTTTCCGATTGGCTAACAAATTTGGACTTCCTTTACCCTCAGGCCAAACTAATCTCATAGAAATGATATTGGTTTTACGAATAGTTGGAGTAGCTTTTGAGATAAATGGTTCTTGGTTGGCAATGAAAAAGGCAAAGAAAAAAGAAAATGAATTGGATAATTCAAAAGATGCTGAGATGATTCAAAAAGATGATGAGTTTCTAGAGTTAATTAATCCTTCTCTTCTAGACTTATTTCATTATTCTTTCAATTATGTGGGATTATTAACTGGTAAGTACATATCTGTAAAGCAAATAATACAAATTAATGTATGTGAGCTATAAATAAGTTTCTTTAGATTTATTAATGTCTTATACATGTAGTAATAATAATGAAGAATATGTATATAATATATATATACATTCAAACATTTATTGTTTATTAATTTTAATTTATGTATATAATAGAAAATTGCCTTTAAATAATAGTGAAATAGTTTTATGTAAATTCAATGACACCAAAAGGACCAAAGAAAACATTAAAAAGATGAAGTTTTTAAAACCCTATCTATTTATAATAGGTGAGTAATTAAATATGTTAACACTCACTGATAGATAATGCACCTACAGTTTAACTGGAAAAGAATAGTTGCTTAATGTAATGAGACAAGTACAAATTGCAGAGTAATAAAGTCACCCTTTATTTTATAAGTTTTTGCTTTTAAAATCTATTATTAAGTATATATTATGCTTTCACTTTTCAGGACCATACTATAGATATCGTACTTTTGATGATTATTTTCATTTGCCATACAGTAAATATGCTGATTGTATGGGTTTCACTATAAACACATTAAAAACGGTGCCATTGTATATATCACTTTACTTGGCTTTATCAAATCTCTGGCCATTAGAGGTGAGATTATTATTTTGTACTGATTTAGTTAAGTATAATTAACATTTTTCCTGATAATACATATTTTTATACATTCAGGGCATGTGGAAAGGAAGGTTACCTCCACATTACCTTTACCGTAATTATTTATTTATTTATATGCTTTTGTACATTCACCTATAGTATAGATACTAGATTATAACAAAAATTATACACAAGTCAAACTTATCCCTTAAAGGAATTTTTTCCAGTCAACCTTGAGAACCTGGTACCTGTGGTATTGTTACATTAATTTTTGACATTTTATAGTTTCATAATTTTTTTTGCACATATCAACTGTGTGTATCTTATGAAAATAGCTGAATCATTTCCTTTATTATATTTATTAAAATTATTTGTTCAATTAATATAATAACTGATGGATGGTTTGTGTCTAAAAACTACTGAACAGATTTGAGTGAAATTTGGTACTCCAGTAGGTTATATCCAAGGTGCTAAATTTAGGGCATTTTATATACATACAGATTCAGGCGGGTAAAGCCATGGATATAGATAGTAAAAAATAACCTTGACTAAAGACAATGAAACTGAAAAACAAACATTTGGATTATTATAAGTCAAAGGTCAAAAACGTTTACATCTTTTGTGGTCGTTGTATAATTATTAAAGAAATATTTAAAAATTATTATCAAATACTTTGCACCTAATATAATATACGAGTATATATAATAAAATTGTTGTTAACAAAAATCATATAGAGAGGCAAAATATTGTACTGTATTGTAGTGTACTTTGCTAGCCATTTTTACAATTGATTTCAATCGAGTGTTTACTACCCGAAAGAATCTTTAAAAGGGTATCAACGAAATTACGTATTAAGCTATAAATTCTTGTATGCTTTATCAAAATTGGTTAAATGAAACCTGAGATAAAATTTGACCCCTTTACAAAGTATGAAGTCTTGCAGAATGGCCCTGTTGTTTACGAAAATATCTTTAATTGATATTGTAGGTTTTTTTAATGGGATGAAAATGGAATGGCAACCCTGCTTGCGCAATCGGTGAACATAGGTGAGATAGGTATCATTGTTTTATGTTAGGTGAGAATGAAGGAACCGAGTTCAGTTGGTAGGCGTGGTTAGGTGAATCCTGGTGAGTCATCACGTCGTACCGTTTTAATTAAGAAGATGGTTTCCAGGAGCCCCCTCCCGCGTTCCGATACTGTTAGTTACAACTACCATTCGAGTGAGCGTGTCGCCCTCTAGTTGTAGGTAGTTAATACCAAGTATTTACATTACGTTTCTATTGCAACACAGATTAAATCATGGTCATAATTCTTTGCGTGATAAATTTGTAAGCACGTACCTATATCGTACATTGATATTGTTTGAGTGATGTTTGCAACATTTGGTTTGTTGACATTTCATATGTATACATACTAATTGAACACATACGAGTGCTTTGCATAATTGTATTTTGAAGTAATTCTTTTCACATTCCTTAAATAAAAGTACATACATCATACTATACAATGTTTATATATTTTATGCGAACACTGTCTTATGTTCGGTGGCCCCAATGTGGTATTGTTAAATAATACAGCATATGCTGAGAGGGATACCTATTTAGTATTAATTGAAGTATAAGTAATATCAAATTTTGTATTCCTATGTGTATTATATGAAAGGCTTCATGGGCGACACAGTATGATCTGTTATTTCCACGGTACTTGTTTATGTCTATGTTCCATCAGGTGGGCTGTCAGCTTTCATTCTAAGTTGTATAAAAAGGAATGCAGAATCAATGTTTTTCCATTTTGTATAAATATTAATAAGTTTTATTTGTTTTCAGTATGTACTGTCGGAAGATCATAACAACCGGAGCTTCATTTACAGAATGCTATATCCGTGGGCACTGTTTACAGCATTCCGGCAACGCATTTATTCTGGTATGACCTTGGCGGAGAGTGTGTGCACATCAGCTGGTCTGGGCGCATATCCAGTGGAAGGGCAAAACAGAACTGGCCACGGTCCTACAGTTGGTTATATGAAGATTAAAAAAATGTATAAAATATTTTATTATCTTTCAAAAAGTGCTCGCTTTCGTCTAATTATTGTAGATTCAATAGTTGGCACACTAGCATTGATTTATCATCATTTCATTTTATTTCATTACATATATTTATTGTATTTACTAAAATCTACGCATACTAAATAGTATCTCTCTACTTTTCTTCATTATTGATCAATTCTTTTCATCCAAAAGTTTACATGTGTGTCTAAAAAGTCATGTTTTCAACCGATTTCAAAAAGAAGGAGGTATTTTTTTTTTATTTTTCTTATCTTATTACTCTGTTATAAACTGATATGGAAAATTCTTTTTCATTTGAAAGAGATTTTTTTTTTATTTTTTTTTATACAACTTAGAATGACAAACAAGCTGACGGCCCACCTGATGGAAAGTGGTAACCGTCGCCTATAGACATGAGCAGTACCATAGACATAATAGAGTATATTGTTTCGCCCATGATACCCCCCATGCGTTGCCATTCCTGAGGACTCAGATGTTATTCCTCTGTACCCAGTAAATTCATCAATTCACTAATCAATTCAAGAGTATATTGGTTTCATGGTAATTTAATCAAAATTGGTTTTGTAGTTTAGTTTTCTAATCAAAATAATAATTGAAGTCGGTTTTTTGTTGGACACAATCTTATTAAATATCTATTCCCATAATTGTTATTTAGTACATTATTGGGTTTAAAAGTAGTAGGTACTAACACGTGCTGATGCTGATACATTGTATTCTTATACCATCACATATATAATACATACTCACATCTGTTTATCTTTACAATATATAAATTATAGACAACGCTCATCTACAGCTGTTTAATGACCTTTTGTTTATAATTTAATATTTAAATAGGTGAAGGATAAGTCACGATGACGTTATCTACTTATTTTGTATGTACCCATACCTAAATGTACAATTACTGTTTTAAATAGATTTATGTTTTTAAACAGGTATATATATATAATAAAAAAATAATTTATGATAAATCTTAAAAATACATTAATGTCCCATTTTTGGGGCACAGGTCTTTCTCCATAAGAAGAGAATATAACTTTTACTTTAATAAAAAGACAAAAAAAAAATAGAGTTAAATTGTTTGTTGTTTTTAACAATTAGTTTTAAGAAAAATGTTTAGTTTCCCTGGTAGAATACTTTTAAAAGAAAGGTAAAGATTGGTAATGTGTTAATTCTATATTACATAGTCCCTGGTACCACTAAGAGCAAAATTCTTATAATTAGACGTAATTTTAAACAATGTATTGGCCTTCTAAGATCAGCCGCAATTATAATTTTATTCTGATAATAAACAATATTTGTAGGACTGATGAAGAAGCCAAAATTGCTCAATATGATTTCAATACAGTTGAATCTATGGATGTGTGGGGATGCGAGACGGTAGTTACATTGCGTGATTCGATGAAGGTATGGAATAAAGCAGTGCAGTACTGGGTGGCAATGGTTGTGTACAAAAGGTTCCCTATAAAGCCTTTAAAGTAAGTATTGTGAAAGTATTCAATTTCTTAATCAATTGTTTGTTTGTGAACAGTATTCTCTGATGCTTTTCTGTTTTTACTGTACGAGGTTTGTCCGGAAAGTACGTATAAAAGTTTTTTAAAAATTTTATTTTACAATTATTCAGGTAAATCAATTTTATCCCCTTCAAAGTACTCCCCCTGTGACATAATGCACTTGTGCCAACGCCGTTTCCACTGTGAGAAGGCTCCTTGAAAGTCCTCTGGTTGTAGGTTTCTCAGCTGCCCCGTCGTAGCTTTTTTTATCTCATTTATGTCCCCCAAATGCCGCCCCCGAAGTACCAATTTGGTTTTTGGGAACAAGAAGAAGTCACACGGGGCCAAATCCGGCGAATAGGGGGGGTGTTCGGTCACCGTAATGGAATTTTTACTCAAAAACTCACGGACAACAAGAGAGGTGTGGACAGGGGCATTGTCGTGGTGAAGAATCCAACGCCCCTCTCGCGCCAATTCTGGACGAACTCGTGCCACACGAGCTTTGAGGCGTCTGAGCACATCGACGTAGAATTTTCCATCAACTGTCTGGCCTGGAGGGACGAATTCTTGATGGACAATCCCCCGAACATCGAAAAAAACAATCAACATTGTCTTGACATTTGAGCGGGATTTTCCTTCACAGCATCATCCCCATAAACTGTTCTGAGATCGGCAAAAATTTCACGGCCATTCTTGCCGAGTTTCGAGAGAAACTTGATTACGACGCGCTGCTCTTCAACGGAAGCGGGCTCCATGCCGACGGGGTTTCGTTAAGAGGTAACTTCACAGATGGCGTGACAAGCCAGTTCGCACCGCACGGCGGTCAGACCAGAACTGAAGCATTGTTAGGGACATAAGGAAGGGGTCCTGCGCTTACCTGGCCTCCCCACTCCTCTTTCTCGCATTCCAGAACACTTTTATACGAACTTTCCGGACAGACCTCGTATATAATATTCTGTTTTTACTACTTCATTCAAGCAGACTTTAGTCTGAACAACAACGGGCTAGTGTAACTCAGAGTAGTAGTAGAAAATGATATAACCGGAGTATATACCCAAGTATCGTGTAGTCCTAAATAATCTTGACTCCCACGAATAGCACAGTTCTTGGCACCAGTTTTTCCATAAGAACTGGCTAGAGTTTCACTTGGTGTTTTATTTCTCCTCTTGCACTGGTGTACAGTGTTTTGTTTCCTTAATCGTCTCTTAATAAATATCTTAGTAAGTTTTCATTTAGTTTCTTAGATTACTCTCTAGATCAAAACACTTAATATGGTCAATTTAAAGAATAACTGCATTTTTTTTATAAAATGATTATTTTTTTTTAAGGATTCATGCAGCGTTGTTCGTTTCCGTAATATGGCATGGAATTCACGCTGGATATTTCTTCTGCATTTACTTCTGTCCGTTTTATTTGATGGCAGAAGATATATATTACAAATTATATTACAAACCCGCTACAGGTTTGGTAAGTGTCACTCATAATCAAATATAGATGGGAATAATTGTCTAGTTTTATACGTATATATTAAACTGCTCGTGTCTACAGGCAACGGTTACCGCTTTCCATCAGGTGGGCCGTCAGCTTGTTTGCCATTCTAAGTAAAAAAAATGTATTTAAGTATAATACTATTTATTTGTTATTACCCATTTAATACATTATGCATAGTTTTGTATTAGTAATTGAATCCTGAAGCTTTGCCTACATGCATCAATATAAAGTATTCTATGTAGAACATAGGATATATCTTATCCGTATATTGAATTTTATTCAAATTCATTTAGTAGTTTTTGCATGAAAGAGAAACAAACATTAATTCTAACAAACTTTCCCATTTATAATACTAATTAATTTAATTTGATTTATATAGTTTACAGATTCATTCATGAAATGTTTTATATATATTTCAGAAAAAGAATATAATTGGTTTCATCATGTGGTTCCTAAGATCTCATTCTGAATCTTATCAAGCGGCTGCATTCCTTCTGCTCACATTTGATCGGATCTGGATATATTATTCGTCAATGTACCACTATTGGTACGGCGTTTGGTTCACCTTCCTCGTTTTAGGTCTCATATTGAATCAAATATATGGTAGACCGAAGAGATTACAGGTAGAGGAAGAGAAAAAATTAGAATCCAAGAACAAGTAATGTGAAGAGATTAGTAGTTAGTAGTAGTATAAACTTCAGCAATGTCAATATTTGAATTTTACATTATGTTTATATACTTAATGTTTATGCAAATTAAAAACACAACCACCTAAGTTAATGTATGCTATTGGAACAGTTGAAATTATATGAATAACCAACAATCAGTATAATATGAAATTATCATTGTTTCTTGTTTACTGATACTCAATTTACGAGGAGAATGTAAAATTTGGCTATTTCTATCTACATAAAATTTCCGAAGCATGAAGTTACGAGACGCGATTTCTGACTGGTACTGCAGGGAATATACATAGAATAAATCACAGTTATGAGCTACGTAGTACGTAGCTGATTTTTCGCCTTTATTTCTCGCATAATCTTTCATAAGTCTCATGGTTTCTGCTTAAATTAAATTTCAGACATTCAGTTACATACAGCATTAGTTTAGCAGTACATCTATTACTTTTATTAGTTTCAAATGAAATCGGTCCAACCATTTATAAATATATGGGAATTAAATAAAAACAAATGTAAGAATAACTGTTGAGTGTCTTGTGGATACCTCTTAGCAGATAACATTCCTAATACCGAGTTATCAATATTTTTTTGTTTAGATTCAATTTTTTTGGATTTTTAAGACTTCAAAAGTGGAGATTCTGTAGTTTTTAATCAAGGTATCCGGCTATACGATAAATGAAGGACTTTTTGTGGTACCAAATCTATTTGTGCGCTATTGTCAAGTATTGACAAAAAATACAACCAACGTTGTATATTTTTTTGTTACACCCTAAAACTCGCCATTTTTACCATATGTACTGAAACTAAACAATATATGGTGCCTATTACCAAATGTTGCGGCGGGTTCTGTTTTATGATATTATTTTGTAGGTATAAGTTGTAATTGACATGCTGTTTTTTCTTCAGTGTAAATTAAGTAAATGACAAGCCATTAAAATACAGACGCTTTCTATGGCAATTTATATAGATAGGAACGCCATTGTGTTCTAACGAAAACAAACTTCATTGCTGCTTATAGGCTGGAAAATAAATTATTACAAATTTCCCCGTCATTACGGAATTTTATAAAAAGTTGTCCTATTTAAAATTATAATTAGTATGCTCCCCTCGCATACGTCAATGTCGTTAAATTTGTCTGTTGCCTATGGTTGATTGCTAACTCTGACCAATTTAGCACGGGATTGGCTTCCCACGAGACTGTTGACTCCGGAAGTCTATTCGGGTAGTTACTCTGTAACTACTAGTCATTGGGTGTCTAACCCAATGACTATTTGCAGTTATTTACATTGTAACACGGCGGCGCCAACTTTGCAGAGCATTAAGTAAGCTCACTAAGTAGTAAGTGTTTAGAAGTGCTGTCATTTGTCATCATTCATCTGTTTGAATTATTGCTCAAAATCAATGAATCCAGTGTTATAAGTTTGTATAATTCTATTCCTGATTAAAAAAAAAATGTTTTGATCATTTTTGAATTATATTCCTACTTAGCTTAATTTTTTAATAAATAATTGATTATTAACTTCTTTAGTAGGTTCTTTATGTAAGCGCTATTAGATATTAGGTTTCAAATTAGATTAAAACAACCCAGTTGTAAAATAAAGCTTTATTGAAACATTCCATGTAATTTTACATAAAATTAATTATACAACATAAAAAAAAATATTAATTTTAATCAATAAGAGATTACAAATGAGTAAAATAATGCAGATCTTATAAAGACTATGTTTATATACAATTTCTTATAATATTTTGGTTGGGAGTTTGAAATATTTATTATATAATTTATAGGTGTATGTTTATTTATCACATTAATATTTTTGTAAAATAACTATCTAGTCTGTTTTCTTTATTGACCAAATAAAGATTATTTATATCACTTGGGTTTGTTTTTATTTTATATAGTTTTTATTAAAAAAAAAAAAAAAAAACAGCACCTATATATGATTATAATACACATACATTGATTATTTTACTTAAATATTTAGTAATCTATTGGTGATCTAATCACCTAGGTGGCAAAGGTAACAGTTGTTTCTTAAAATACAAGTATTAGACAACGTTTTTGGAAATATCTCCAAATTGCTTTTTTGATGTGTAAAAAAAAACTGAAATTCGGAGGCAAATTTTAAATGCAATTTTTTTTTAGAAAAAATTAAAAGAATTGTAAGTTATTGTTAATTCCATGTCATGCTCTGGATGTATCGGTTTATGACGTACATCAACATCACAGTCGCACTGAAATAAATAGAATATATTTACATTAATTTATGGCACTATGACAAGTATTTTCGTGAGTGGGGAAAAATATCCAAATTACACGAAACTAGATTTTAAGATAGTATGATTGCAAAAAAAAAAAAAGAATTTCAAAATCCGTTCAGAATAGACATAGACATCACTTTTTTTTATAACATAGGGGTAATGGGCATGTGGCTCACCTGATGGTAGTTACCGTTATTTATAGGCAACATCGGCGAAATTACAGGTACATTGTCGGCCTTTTAAGAAGGAATGCGTTTTTTGTATAAAAAACAAGAGTTAAATGTTTAAAAAATAATATCACAAGTGACATTACCAGAACTGGGTTTTATTTTTGTAAGGGATTATAATTATACATACAGCTTTTCTCATTTTACAAACCTGTTTCATATTAAAAGCTAAGCATATTTACCCTTTTTCCGTATGCTTATATTTGCAACGTTTCGATATTACAAAAGGTTTCGGCTCCATAGTTTTATTACGGATCGCCTGTCTGATGGCAAACCCAATAGCGGAAATAATGACGCTTTAAAACTTTCTTTAAAGCTTGCCCCAACCCAGTGCAGTAAACCAGAATAGGTAACCCAGTTTGGAAAAATCTAGTCCCGTGTATCTCGGATATAAGAGTACGATATGTATTCTTACAAGCTAATAATAATAACACAAAAGTGCATTTTGTACAATTGCATATATATACAAAAGAAAAAATAACAATGAAAACTTTGCGACAATCGAGTATTATGGGTAGCCTTAAATTATTTTACTGCTTTACATTTCTATCGTTATTCCATGCATGTTACATAAAACTTAAAGCTTCAACAAAAATACTATTTTTTTTTTGTTTTACAACAAGCCCATTTAATTAGTAATATATTATTTTTATACATAAAGTTTTTTTTATTTCAGACACCTTAGTAGGTAGCATGTGTTAAAGTAATAGTTACCGATCGCATAGTTACATTAAAGGAGTTGGTAACCACCTGAACATGTTTATTAGGCTTTTATATTAGTGCAGAAAAAGAAATAATTAAAATTATAAAAGAAAATAGTGTCTAGATTCATGCAAAGCAACTACAAAAAGATTTCACCGCGTGAAGCCACACCGATTTGTAATTAGGTATGTTATTTACCCAAAATTCCAGCCATAGGATACTGGTTTATGTGTTGTGGCTCCACTGTGGTGGGCATTACTTTGACCGTAGTTTCGATTTGGGACAGGCGTCTGATAACTCGGCTGGTAACCTGACGAAGAATACTGGGGATTAGAACTTCTTGAATTCGAGCTGTACGATTGGTAATTAGGGTTCTGTATAATTGGTCTGGTGTTGAAGTAACTGCTCAAACCTCCGTTTTTGGAAATATTGTCAACGAGGCTTCCAAGTATGCTGGATAATCCTGAGCTGCCTCCTGTTGAACCGCCGCTACTGCCGCCGCCGCCATTTGCATATTTGTTGAGAGTATTTAAAATGGTGTCGAGAGGACTACCCGATCCTCCGAAACCACCAGAAGAGCTCGAACCATATGGAGAGTTACCACCATAGGGACTATTGCCTCCTCTGTTGTTTGATCCACCATACGGAGAGTTTCCGCCGTAAGGCGAATTGCCGCCATAGGGTGAATTTCCGCCACTGGGCGAATTTCCGCCATAGGGTGAACTTCCACCGTAAGGCGAGTTACCGCCGTAGGGAGAGCCTCCACCGAACGTTGAACCACCTTGATTACTATGCCCACCATATGGAGAATTGTTTCCATAGGGCGAATTGTTTCCGTAAGGTGAATTGTTTCCATAAGGAGATTGTCCGCCTGGTGGAGCAGGCGCTGGGTAGTTGGGTGGCGCGTCGATATCTCTTGTGGGGGACTGAGGCACTGCTGGCTTATGGGTTGGTGGAGCCGGGTTAGTGTGTGACCCTGTAAGCATTTAATATAATGAACTAATTTAATATTTCATTAACTATTCAAATAGAAAAAAAAAAAAAAACTCGACTGTTGAGATTCCAAAGTCTATAAATAACCTTTATTAAAAATATAACTGAAATTATTAGATCTCTATACATTATTGGGTTATTCATAGACACTTGTTCATATAGCTCAAACTTGATATTCGCCTTCATGAAGAAGAAATCAAAATAAGTATACAATTATAATAACAGGATCATATACATTATTAATTTTCATGATTTATATCAGATACCTAACAAAATATGAATACTTCCGATTAATATGGTTCAGTAATTTTGAACAAGGTTTGGATATGTTCTGTTTTCTATATTTTAAGGACTCTGACAGGCATTTGCCCGATATTCACAGTTGTGAGTCGAAACCTGTCGAAAAACGAGTCTGCCGTTAAGTAACTCTACGATGTTAGAAAGTCTTATACACTCATAAAACTGCAATAAAAATTATATCTTTATAATCGGGTATTAAAGTTTATTATTCATATGGACAGGTAATAGTAGTATTTTACCTTCAACTTGCGACTTCTTTTTGCACGTAGGATAAGTACCACAATTGTGGGATTGTCCAAATGTACATGGTTCTTCGGCAAGCACACATACTTCGCTATTTAGACATCCGATATCTTTACACGTGCGTCCGTATTCTGAAATGAATAAGAAATACCAGATAAATTATAATTATGAACACTAGCACTGGTTCGTTCTTGTTGCTTCTATAATGAAAATGTAGGCTATGTTATGTTATATATTATATGTTTTTGCATAGCTGAGTCTAGATTTGAAGAGTAGGATATGGTAGTAAATAAGATGGTATGGAAGCATAATGGAAATGGCAACGTCTGTGGGGGTAGCATGCGCGTCACTGTATTCTATGATGTGCATGGTACAGTAAGTACCATGCAAATGGTTACCATTTTCCAACAGGCTGGGTGCCAGCTAATTTGCCTTTCGAAGCACCGTACAATTTTTTTTCATGATAGCATACAACATACATTTATTGCTATCAAAAATTAACAAGTCTATTTTTTAGAAAATCTTCACAGGTTTTTCTAGATCTAGATTATGTTCATCGAATTACCTATAACTAGTTTTACATACAATTACTACAATTTTTTTCCAAAATATAAGCTGTTATCAGCACATGTATACGTATTTATATCCATAACTCTTGACCTTAACATTAAATTGGTCTAAAACAGGTTTAATCTCGTAACCTCCGTGTTTATTTCATTGCGCAGAAATATCTATGTAACAAAAACCAGTCAACTGGTGAGTGAGTAGGCTAGATAGATTATTCACAAGTAGTTTTTATTGCTGTGTAAAAAATATTTGTGACTTTAATTGTAATAAAATTAATATGAGAGTAACAAAATCGAGGTGCAAACTCTATTGATTGCAAAAAGAATTATCAAGATTTTATACTAGCTTTTATCACAGATTTTGTCCGCGTGACCAGGGTATGTTCACTGACCAGAATAGAAAGTTCCACCACCATAAAACCCATGTTCGGTTATAATTATAATACTAGAAAGGATTTTTATACAGTTTATGACTAGTTATTGCAATTTTGTAATCTTTTATTACATATATCGAAAATATAAGTCGTTTGCTTGGGTACCTCTGTCCCATTCGTGTTTCAACCGTAAAGCAGTTGTGTTTGTATAGCTGTTTCGGTTTGAAGGGTGGGATATGGCGTGAATTTACAGGGTACAGAGGAATAACATCTGAGTCCTCAGGAATGGCAACGCATGGGGGTAAATTGGGCGAAACAGTATACTCTGTTATGTCCATGGTACTGTTCATGTTTATAGGCGACGATTACCACTTTCCATCAGGGGGCCGTCAGCTTGTTTGCCATTCTAAATTGTATAATAATAAATATAAAAATATATCTAAATTTAACTAAGGAATAAATAAAGTATTATGCTCGTATAACCTATTACCTATTTACTATTATTAACATACAAGAAGGCTTAGAGCATCCCTTTATCTGATTAAATCTCACACCCTTTCTATAGTATAATTTTAATCCTTTTATCCGTTTCCGATAGCTTTTTTGACTACCCATTGGGGAAACCTTTGATTTCCCAAGATATGTATAGGTCCCTATCTCTTTATGTTGATATATTCGTAAGACATCGCTATTTCAGTTTTATTGTCTTGTATGTGGTGAATATTATACAAGTGAATGCAGAATTTATAGAAACCAAAATATAGATAGAGTTCTAAAAGAGAATGAAAGTACTTACCTGACACTGGCTAATCTCTATAAAGTGGTATATGAATATGGAGGATGTTAGGAAGGTATTTTATCCAATTTCTTTACATTTGGTATATTAAAAAAAATAATCTTGTTTTGTAAATAACGAATTAATATTTTATTTATTCTATTTGTATCTGAGAAAAAAATAAACAGCGAGATAGATAGTGATGAAAAGAAATACTGGTAAGTTTTATTTTGATTTTTTTTTTTTTTGAAACTGCTTTCAGTAGTTTGAATTATGAAAGGGTTTAAAGAAATCCTTTGACGATCTTATGATAAAGAAAAAAATATTGTTTTTAATGTAGTACTCGTATTTAAGGCCACCTGGTTTACATTTTGCTTGGAAAATACTTTTTACTTGTCGAATATGAGTTAGTAAATGCAAGTTAGCTAAATTTTAAATATATACGTAAAATAATCTGGAAAATAAAGGTATGTGCCAGAAAAATAATCAAATGCCGCCTTAAGTTGTTAAACTTTTTAAGCTACTTCAAAGAGGTATTACAAATATGATTAAATGGATGGTATTTTTGTTCTATTATTATATGCGATATATTAGCTAACTTTGAATTGATTTTGATGTTTCTTTTTGTAATAGATAAGGTTTATTTCTGGGAATAAATCTTATTATTCGATATCTAAATATTGAAAAGTTTTTGAACGTTGAATTAATATCTTGAAACATATTTTATAAAGATACTAAATTATTGATTTTAGATATTAAAAGATATTTATTACATCTTAATACTTTACAGCTCGATTACTTCACGAGAATAATAAAAAGAAGCAGGTAAAAACCGTGTTCGAAAATGGAAAACTGTTTAATACTGTATGAATATATTTTATTTCGCTGTGTCTACGGAATTTCGCCCTTTTTATAACCCAAAAGGCGTGGTCGGGTAAGAATTCGGTTGTAACGGAATAGGGATCATTTGCATATACAAGATTATATACTTAGATTGGGTTCTCGTCGTCTTCGAGAGTCAATATCACACGTAATAAAAGCCAACCGAACTGGAAACGCTTTTTGCCACTGAATTGTTTTTGTTGCATATTCTGCGCGCGCAAATTTTCTCGTGAGTGAATAGGAAAAATAATATTTCATTTAGGTGAGTACATAATATAAGTGTTTTATTGGATGGTACCATTTCACAAGTTCTCAAGTGAAACTGAAGAATATTTAGTTAATAATTTTTTTGGATGATTACATATATGAGTATTATTTACTAGTTGTTATAGTGTACACTCGTTTATGCAAAACCCGTTTCCGTGATATCTATACGTATTGAGTAAGCGATTCGTATCGTACCTGTCGCGGTACAAAGCGTTTTTAGTTTCAAAGGGGGAGACCCTTAATTCGTTTGTTACTTGATATTTAAGCAAATTTTAAACTCCAATTTTGATAATTATTCTTGCTATCGATAGGATTTATATACATATTGATCATATTATATTTGTCACAGTTTTCAGTCTTAAATTATGTATATGTATAAATATTCATTCTTAAGTCAGTCTTACACTATTATACCAGTCACGGTTCGATCTTGGCTGGTAAAATATTATTCCATAAAATACAATATGTGTATTCATACTAATTGGGCTGTACATATAGTACAGCCCAGTCAGTTTCCTTACATTCACGATTAATCCCGAGGTGTTTTTATTTCAATTTATCAGATCGAGAACGCACCGTGATGGTATGAATCTAGCTTTAGATATCAGTTTCAAGGAACGTCGAAGCTACAATTCCTATACAAAAAAGGTAGCTTGAAACTTTTGAAACAACATTTTATGTATCACATTTTGTCCTGTTATTTAGCATTACATGAAATAAAAATATTAAACGTATTAAGATGCTTTAATATATGTATGTATATTATGGGTACAATGAGACCCATAATACCTCTTAAATATTATAAACAAAAATAAAGTGAAATTGATTTTCGAAGATCGGAATTTGCTGTTATGTGGGTCAACGTGAAAAAAATAACCGAATTATAAGAGGGCAATAAAATCTGTTCTAAAAGCAACATAAAAGAAGCAAAATCTACGCTGAAAACGTTTTAAGCTAAGAGGCAAGATACGTGAAAAAAATACTTAGGTGACATAGAAATTTCGACTAGCAAATACGACTTTAGAGGCAATAAAAACAAATAAAAAGAGCATCATAAGGTTGCATCATAACTCATTGTTTTGTTACTTTCAAGACGGGCGGGAAGCTCGTTTTATGTGTGCATTAGGTAATGGATTTGAGCCATATCTTACGGCAATCTGAGGGTAGAGAGTACGTGCCCCGAGACGGTAGTCCAACCAAACAACGCGGGCTGCTGAGGATCTCACGATATCTTCGCAACAGGGGTTCATCGTATTTACTCGGCGTTAAATAAAAGGTTGCCAATGGAGTCACGCATGTGGGACGTATATTTGACAAGCGGAAATAGTTAAGGATAGATGTAGATAAAACTACCAAATACAAGGTCGTCACAAACTGACCGGATCTAAACTCGGAAATACAAAGTTATGAAGTTATAGCATTGTCTACGTTACATGTTACGATAGTCGAATAGCCAGACATAAAGCTTGTAGTTTAGATGGGCTGAGGTATTTCGTTAAAGTTTTATAACATACAAATAATAATCTATACACAATGTAAGTGAAAATTGATAAAATTTTTGAGAATATTAGTATATGATGGATATATAAGGATAGTAGTAGTAGCTCTATTTTGCCGTGTAGGTTCCGTGCATAGAATATGCTACCCCTTTCTTTCCCGTGGGTGTTGTAAGAGGCAACTAAGGGAGGGCGAGGGATGGCCAGCAGTGTTATTCTTAAAACATCTCTGCCATGCTAAGCGTGGCGACTACTGGCAAAACCTCCCAAGGGAGAGCTTTTTGTTCAGTAGTGGGCAGTTAAAGGCTGATATAATGATGATGATGGTATACTGCTTCTTGATTTTTGAAGCAGAGCTGAGCATCAACAATAATATAGATGAATTTTAGAGAATAAAGTTTGTCATCAGCTCCTGTAAATCCTTTAATAACAAAATTATATTCAGGCTATGAAGGACCGGGTCTTATGGTAAGTATAAACATATAGGTATGTTGCGTATATGCGCATCCTAATCTAGCTGTGGAATCATAATTTCAAAGCAAACGATATTGTGCTCTCCTAAATTATTAGTTATCTGGCATTTATAGCTTTAGTAGTGGAGTGATATTACAAAAAAAGTGACCTTTAATTGTTGACTTCGTCAAAAGTACTTATTAGTGATTAAATATCGAATTTCGCGATATTCTCTGGGGGTCGCGACCCATACGTTGAAAAATACTGTTCTAAAGAATCAGGATCGTGGGCATGGGATATTTAGATATAACCGCAGATATTAAATCAAATAATCTAGATACATTTCATTATACCTTCTAAATTTTTATTTTATATATTACGTACTTATGTAGTAATTTACAATGATGAGATTCTCAATTCGATTGCTACTCATTAATTCTGATTTCATATTATTCTTTTTGCAAACAATATGGTTTATTTATAGTTTATTAATAGGTCATAATAATTCTGTCATATTTGATGTAGGGGCTTCTTTTAAAAGAACAAAGAAGCTCCTTACGAAAGTACTTAGCTCCTCACAGAAAGAAAAATATGAGATGCTTTTAATATTCTGAAGTACTACAGGTACTTACTTGAGAATCCATCAGCGTGAAACACTAAAGTAACGGTTAACAGCGCCGTTTTCCAGTTCATCGTGAATCTGAAATAGGAAAATTAGATGTTGTATTTATCCTTCTTTTGCCATATCAAATTGTAATGTAGTAAAATATTATTAGCTATATATTATTGCTTATTTGCTACTTAAAATTATATATATATATATATATATATATATATATATATATATATATATATATATATATATATTTTAATTGTAAAATTGTTAATAAACGATGTGGCAAAATAACTTCTAGCAGAAGCAAAAAGCTTCATCAGATTGTATAATAATTATAATAATAAAATTGATAGATTTATATGAATAAATAATCCTTACTATCCTTAGGATTATCATAAAAGTGAAGGATAATCTTATTAGCGTTTTAATGTCGAAACTAATCGTGATGAAATTAAGTACACGCTAAACTATACGCAGTACAAGAACTGTATAGTACAAGAACTATACGCGTAATATCAGATAATACCCAGAATAGAGAAGGAAACACCTAAATCATAAGTAAACTATAATTTTCCAAGCCATGCCTTTTTTGACAACTACAAAAGATTTGTGATTCGGTAAATTTGTAGCACTTTTTGTTCATATCCGAAAATAATTTATAAAATGTTTTTCGTGGTGTGGCGTGGTTAGAAATCAATTGATATTTTTATTTTACAATATGTTAATAGGAAAAAAATTGAAATATTAAAGTTTTATTATGGATAGATAAATAGTTGTAAATATCCGATATGTTAAATTTTCAAACTCACTGGTTAAGTACACTAATGTACTATGATTGCTTTAACTCTATTCTTTTTTAATTAGTACATCAACATAAACGGCAAATGTAACAGAGACATTAAATTTACAGCTGTTGGCTGTACGCTTTTCAAACACAACAGTTTAGATCTGATTAGCGCAAGCTGTAGTATACAATGTTGAGACAGACATAGTTGGGTACACAAGATGAAATAGCTCGTCGACATGTGTATTTCAGAGCTGCACGTCTGTCCGACAGCTCAGCTGAAACTTTATGACACCTAGCTAACATTCCCAGAGCAATTTCGCCAAAACTGTTTCGTATAACCTCGTTACCAACTACTGCGCCACTATAGGTAAACGTTTTGCGGATATGGCACAAGTTGTTTCCGTTTATTGAAAAGTTTGATGTAGATGCTTCTGTTAATATAATGATTGCAGCCGCGTACTCTCTTATTGCGGCAATATGGCTTCCTTTCGGTTTGGAGAAGGTCATGATTCTGAATCGATCATGGAAGATTACAGTGGATTGGTTGTCGTCATCGTCAATTTTGTCATTTAAAAGTCTTCGATTTCGCAACTATGATTTATAAACCCTCTGAAGCACAGATACGCTCAACATAAACGCTGCTATATGAACCTTCCAAAAGATAACAGAATGAACGTTGCTTGATTTCATTAATAAACATTGACTAACGAATATAGTTACCAAACTCTCATATCTCGTAAATTGCACTAGTGATTGTTAGATTTGTTCTTTATACATAAATGTCTGCAAGACTATATTATATTCGTAATAAGGGGTCACTATCACCAAAAGTCCACATGAAGTATAGTAAGTAAATAGAGAGATTATCGAAGGCATTTCAGAACAGAGAAGACAGTAACACGCAGTAGCTTGATAAACCTAGAAAACTCGTCGGTTTCAATAAAAATCAAAATAATTAAAAGTTCTGATAGACTACTCGGATACTAACCAGTCAGGCAGTGAGCACTGGCTATAACAAAATTATGACTAATCCAGTATTATATACCGTACACATTACCGCTAGTTTCACTTGTCTGTGTCAATTTTCTCTTGAATATTGGATGAGGGATATTCGTTTAAGTTCAAATGTTATTCGACATGTCAGCTCGAATTTGTTATTAAAGAAAGTACTAGAGACAAAGATATGAAACGAAATTAGTTGGATAGATCACAAACGACAACTCTATGTTTTAGGTTCGACCCAACATATGTAATCTTCGAGAGATATTTTTTTAGGATTATTACGTGTGTCGTTCAATCTTGATAAAGGACACAGGCCAATAAAAGGAACGACAAATGATTAGTGTCATATCTTGAGATCTATTTGTTGGCAAGAGGACATACCACGGAAATAGCATCTAAGACGCAATATGTTATTATGCAGCAATCAATCTATTACAGCTTTATTGAAGACTGTGAGTGGATGATGTGAAAATATGTAGATCGGAATATGTTGATATTGTGATACTTACATATTGAAATGGTAGTTTAATACACAAGTTTAAGAACACAGCACAAATTCACAATGAAACAAATGGAGGATTGTGCTTGATTACACTGTACTTATTTAAAGAAAATATAAAAGTAAATCAGTCATGGAAACAAAAATTGTTTTAATAAAATTAAATAACTGAATTGAAGCGAAATAAATATGTAAGCGAAGTGCTAGGGGTAGTGGCACGATGGGTTATGCCCTAATGTCGCAGGTCACTGAAGGTCACTTGGTTGGGTGGGGAGGTCGACTAGACACGCAACTTCACTTTGTTAACAGAAATTGTTGACTGAATCAGGGTGAACATTAATAAATGTATATATTTTAAGCTAATATAAACATGTTTCCTTAATATTAATATCCATAACATAATGCACATACGGAAACAAACTTTAATATACTGAGTGTGTTATAATTTGTGGGTAACTTTTATCGATAAAGTCAAATAGCATAATATGTATCTATATCTAATGACAAAAATAATAAGTGCCAGAAAATTATAATATTTATCTGATTCCAAAATTAATATAACTATCTTGTGTCAAACCAGATATTATATATCTGCGGGTACAACCCAGAGTATTCGCAGAAAAAACGGTATTTCCTAAATTGGTCCGATGGCAACCGGCAGAGAAGCGATTTCCGGAACTTCATTTATGTGAAGTGCCTACCACTGCGATCTAGAGGGTATCGCTAAAATAATTCAATAGAAATGCTTTCAAGATGAAATCATTAACACCCAGTTCAATATATAAAATACATATAAAGATATTTGAAAAAGTATTTTCAAAGAGATTTCAAATGATTATGTTGTGTTGCCGATAAGATGCAATGTTTGTAATTTGCTGCAGTGTTTATGGCAACGTGGGAGATATAGAATACAATTCCGAGATATGACTTACATTATGATACATTTTATTGTTTACACATCACCAAAGTTTGTCTTGATATAGAACTTTATTTGTAGTCTTGGTCTTCCTTTTCTTGCATTGTTGTATTATGCTTTATTCCCTTAGTCACATTATGGTGTCACGTTGTCTATTTATATTATTCCTATTTTTTCGGGTGTGAACGGATTCTTAATTCGTCACCACCTTTATAGGCAACTAATTAGAAAAATATATAAGAATAATCATACTGTTTTAGGTCTGCACCTATTTTTCTGCGTTATTAACAGGATTGTGGATTAACAGAATGATAGAAGCCTAGCAAACAAGCATCCGTTATTAGTATGCTCTTTGCACATATAGCATAACTGATTTACTCGTATCTTCTCAGGTGTACTGAGATTAGAATTAATGGTTAAGCGTTGATTAAAAACGCTGGTGTAGAAATTAAAGGATCCCTTGGGGGATATTACATGCCATAGAGCAGAAATTGGATAGCGATACGAGAGATATATTGCCCGACATAAAGCCGTGCTCGGTAACTTTCTACCCATTTCCGGCAGCCCACTTGTGAATCGTATTTCGGAATCCTTTTTATCTTTTTGCGGCTGGTGTGTGGCGGAACGCGATGTGACAGCGGCACCGAGCCACTTCGCAGCTCATATATCACTTGAGCCTGTAACGGCGCTGTTAACGGCCTGCCTGTCACCTCCGCGCTTCACCCGTCCAACACCACACAACTCTATTATCTATATAATACAAGTGTTATATTTCATATTAGTTAGCCTCTACGGGCTACAATAATAAAAGCGATACACTTCGCTGTCTATCGTGTAAAAATAACGAGCGAACCCTAATTGAAATGGTAAGGAATGGTTTTACTTATATCAAAGAGTGCCCTATTATGTTAATCTTGGTCTACTTGATTACTAAATTTTATTCAGATTCGTAAATCATTTAAGCATGATTAAGTACAAAATATCCGTTCAAACATCTTTATAAACTCACACTTATTAATTATTCCACTTTTTCTGTAAATTTATATTATCAATGGAATAGCATGTCTCCTCGTGAGATGTATCAGATTGTTCCACTAAAGAACAAATAGTAGGAGGGTGAATAGATCTATATACTCGATTTATGTGAAGCCAGTATAATAAACCCATTAACTGATTGGCTAATCGTTCCAATGGTAATGCAATGGTAATTCAAAGCATTGGTTCAGTACTAACGATAGTAAGATAATCGTGTAAAACAGACTTTCGACTTACAGAAAATAATATAAAAAAAGAACTTTAACTATAATATGTATATTTAAACTAGTAATTGTTCATGATTCAAATTATGTTTTGGAACGTTTCCTTATCTTTAAATTTATACGAAAAATTATTTTAAACTCATTGATATAGTCATTATTATATATCAATGAAGTTAAACATATAGCTGTCTCTCTCGTTTTGACGACGTTTATTGAAATTATTTCGGATATTTTTTATTAAATATATAATAGTAAAGTAAAATTGCAAAATAAAAATAAAATATATGTACCTATTTCGTTGTAACTAAACCAGTGAATTGAAAAAGATTGCAGTATATACCTAACACATTGGCGCTCGTGTACGTGACGATTCAAGGTATAAACTAGCTAAAAAGATTCGCCGCGTTCAAATTCCGTGGGCGATGCATCGCTGCCGGCTTCCAGTCCACAAATTCAAGGATTGCATGGAGACTGTGTAAAGCAAGGGTGTCACTGGGATTTATATCGGCGGAAATCTCCGATGTTCAGACTTGAAGTCGGGGACACACGGTAAGTGTAGAAGGTGGATCGTGTCGGCTTTTAAGGATTTTATGGATACTTATGTTCGATTAAACTGAAGAC